ATCTGACCACATCTTCATCAAGGATAACTTATTCCATGCTGTAATGTTTTTTTCTTTTTTTTTCCTCCTCAAACAATATACACTGGTTCCCCCTTTCACATCAGTTTTTTGTTCTTAAAGGTTTTCTTAATCAATTTTTTTTATGAGCAATAAGTTAATTTATATATGTTAAGTACAAGGGATACTCAAACCCTTATATAGCAATTATTGCTTGTACAAATGAGTACTAGGTTTTCTTAATCAGTTGTTAGTACCAGGAAGTTAAATTTTATGCTGGGCAGCCAATCAATAAATAAAAAAAAAATGCTGGGCAAATATGGTAGGCTGAGAAGATGTCTAATGCAAAACTGGTGATTTGTTGAGGACTTAACCTAATTTTATGATCTTATGCAGGGTTGTCATAAATGCAGATGCTCCTTATATTAAGATGGTCAGCAAGCAGTTTGACAGCTGTCATGGGACTCTTCTTCGGTATGTAGAGTTCCTTTGCAGTGCAGTGACTCCAGCCACCTCTCATGCTCTTCTAATTCCCTCACTTGATGATCTAGTACATCAGTGCCATCTAGATCCCGAGGTCTCGCTCTTTCTCTATGTGTGTGTGTGTTATGTAGGACTGATTTGAGAAATTCTACCTAAAAGTCTTCTACAGTGAGCTTAGACTCAACGATTAGGGTTTACTTGTTAAAGGTTGTATAAATATCTGTCTAGGAGCAGGAATTAGGTAGCAAGTGTTACCCAAGTGAAAGTTTTACGTCTCCTAACTAGGGATTAGATGAGTTTGATTTGTTAATAGCTTGCATTGTGTTTATTTAGGAGTCACTCATTTAAGAATGCTGGTTGCAGATAATTTCCATAAACCAGAATGTCCCTTTGTCAATTCTACCTCATAATTTCTGCAGGCTTAATGAGGCTCTTTAATAAAGTCAACTATAAAGACTATGTTACCTTCAACTGAATTGTAGAATTTCCAAATTGTCGAGAGGATACTTGGCAGGATTCTAATGCCACCTTCTAATTAGTATACTTT